TTCTGATTTGATCTGATCTGTACGATTCTGTTCTATTCTGATTTGATCTGATCTGTATGATTCTGTTCTATTTTGATTCGATATACGATTCTATTTATCTGATTTTGTACGAATTTTTGTCTGATGTGTTTGATGTGGATTCTGAGGATTCTGATTGGAGGTTTGATGTCTTGCTGAGCTGTTGTAGCTCATCCTTGTTTTCTGCGTGGTTTTCAGGTTCTGAGAAAGGGAAGGAAGTCTTGGACTAGGAGTTCTGAGTCTGATCCGTTATAGGTATTTTGCACTTTTGATTTTAGTACAATCATGACTTTTCTGTTATGCTTTTCCTTCTGTCTGAAAGACATGAGCTGTATTTGTATATGATTCTTTTGAAGAAGAAAAGATAGATGATCTGTTCCGTTGTATTTTGATGTTATAGTAGCTCTGTGTGTCTGTTTCTGTGTGTAATGCTTGGAAGAAAGTTCTGAAACAAATTCCAGAGTCAGATCCTGGAATCAGTTCAGTCAGATTGAGTCTGGCCACGACCTAATGCGAGCGGGATCCATCCCGGTCGGGTTGGGTCGTGACATTGTCTCTCCTATCCATGTGTCTGTCCCGACAGCTATCCTTATTCTGGGTAATGTTTTGGATGAACTTGGGCCATCTGGTGTTAAAATTATCGAGCCTATGGGTCCTGTTGGGTCTTTTATTGCGGCTCCTATTGATAATGCTGTTGTCAATAATTATTCTGTAGCTTCTGATGTTGATGGTGTACCTATTGTAAATCTCAGGGGTGCTGTTTCTGAGGGTGTTTTGGATGGGGTCTTGCCAGCTCTTCAGGGTGCTCGGGTTTGTGCTAGTGAAGGTGGTCTATTGGGTTGCGAAGTTAACTCTCGTCCTTTTTTAAGTGATGTGGGTGCTGTCCCATGCGTTTTGACTAGAACTGTTGAACCTTCAGTGGCTAATGAGCAATCAGATTCTTCTGGCTCCCTTAAGGATTTGTCCCCTGGGTCTCAAGTGGTTTGCTCTTCGGTTAATTTAGGAGTGGATAAATTGATTAATTTTGCTGGTGTAGGCTTGGTCATCAATTCTAACATTGTTAATATTCCTATTTTAGTGTTGTCTAATGCTAAAATGCTCGATCACGTGGTTGTGAGTGGAAAACAATCAGTTTTACGTCCAACAGATTGGTTAACTTTAGAGGTTTCTCCTTCTAGTGGGGAGGAAGAGGACGTTTATGTGAGTTAGGATGAAGTCCTTGTTCGCTCTTTCGGGTGGAAGAGGGGAGGAAGAGCTAATAGGAGAGGAAGTAATGCTTTTGGATTTATCCTTATGTGACTGTGGTTGCTGCTCTTTGGAGCGTGTTGGGTGGTTTTGTTTTGGCTGTCATTGATGGGTGGTTTCAAATTTGACTCTTAGCACTATTGTAGTGGTTTTTAATAGTGGAATGAACGATGATGAGGAGGCCCCTACTTCCCTTTTGTGGTTAAACCGGCTGGCAACCTGGGTACCTCGACATTGGTTGGACTGCGTTTGTTTTCTTATATCTATGGATGGTCCGTGCTTGGCTACTAGGCTCAAGTTTATGCATGTGATCGAGTGCTGGTTGATTTCATTGTAATGGACGGTGTGATGATTATGTTTTGATATTTTCTATGTGATATATGATGTACGATTAGATTTCTCTAGTTTAGGAGTGATTTGGATGTTGATTTCTAATTAGATTTTTTATAGGTGATCATACTTATGCAGGGCTATTAAAAGGGGGTTGGGGGGGGGTGGGGGGGGGGGGTGCTAAAACTAATAATGATTTAATACTAATAAAATTTTGTACAGGTGCTTTCATTGTTAGCCCCCTAATTAATAAAAGTATAGCCAAGCTTATAAGTTGCACAAAGAACGAGCAAATGATTATGATGTGATGTGTTGTGATTTTATTTATATTAAATTCTTTTTCATGCTAACCATGCAGAAGATTTATTGTCTTTTTTTAATTTTAAATGTAGTTTTAATAATAGTGTTGTGAAAGTTTATAAAATGAAATATTTTTTACAAGAAATAATAGGGACCTGAAGAGAAAAGAATATCTTTTATTGGAGAATTCTTTTCATTTGGGTATCCTATTAGATGAACATACAAGAAACCTGAAGAAAATAAAAGTTGGGAAGGAAGAATTGAAGATGAAAAATACTTCATCTTAAATGACTTGCATCATTTCTTAGGTGTAGAATCCAAATTATTGTCAGTGGAGCCTGAATGCATGTGCCTGAATTTTACTAGGCTCTTTGGAATAAAAGTATTTTTCCACTCGCAATTAAAATAAAATTTAAGAAAAAATAACATAAAAAAATAATCATTTTAAGAGAGTAAACTAGCGGTCTTCGAGGGTCTCCAAAGGTTGCATGCATATTAAAGCATTTTTTTATCCTTGTTATAGATATTTCCCGTCCAAGGATACAATTCAGATAATTTGACTTATGAGAATGAGGTGCTGAACCTAGAGAAGCTTAATCTTTTAAAAATTTATTTTTAACACTTTTTAAAATTTCAAGCAGTCATGATTTTGATATTTCAATTAGCATGCTGCATTAGAAACAAAATAAAATTTAAATTTAATTGCATTACTTTTAGAGACATAACAACCTTCATAAGTCCATGGCCACTTATAATCTTCTCTAAATAACGCCCCTCAATTCCAAGAGCTTAAACAATAGCCTACCCATCTTTCATAAGACCATACAACACAATTTTAATGCGATTAGATGGTTTAACTGACTTTCTGTCTAAATTGCACTTTATTAGAAAAGTTTGGGTCACTATTCTTTAAGTACCTAATTTAAATTTAACTTTTGAGGCATATTTCAAATCTTAAGTCCACACACTTCGGTAATATAATTCCATCATTCTAATAAAATGTCGACTTGAATAATAAATACTCTATTAAAATGTAAAACCTAACATAAGATAGACTGGGGTTGCCTCTGAGCTTCTTAGAATCCGACACCTCCTACTTTTTCTTTTTTGATCGGCTAAGAACTATTCAACATTGAGCTTTCTCCTTGAAAAATTTCTACTTCTTTCGTTGTATTCTACTTTGTAATCAAAGGGTATGAAATCACTGTTTTAATCGAGAGTTTTCATAGAAGCAATCTCATAAGATGAAATTAACTATACCCTCATAGGGAATTGAGAACCTAGATTAAAATTACCCTTCTTTTATTTCAGTAAAGTAAGGAAAAAATAACTGGAAATGCAAATTTCTTTTTTTAAACTCATTTTTACTTTCAAATATACTTGTAGAATGTCATTATCGTTTTCCCAGATGATATGATATTTTCTTCATTATATTTGATCTTAAAAATGATGATGAATTTTATAGAGCCTATCTTTATTTTTGATACATTGTACAATATTATATTCATATTTCGAAATGATATGTTATTTTTCTTGTTACATCGATCTAATTATAAGGATTGCTAGATCTTTAAAACTCTATTTCTATATTCTAAACACGTTCTATAGAATTTCATATTCATCTTTTGAGATGATATGTTATTCTTTTAATTATATTTGATTATAGAAATATTAGTTTCTAAAACTCTATTTTGACATTGAATCCAACGAAAAATATTTTGTTAGTCTCTCAAGACACTACTTTATTCTCAATAAAGTATTCAATTAGAAAATAGGAACATTCGAATATGCATGACTTTTATTTTCCCCCAAATGAGTTTTGTTGGAGGCCTTCAAATATGCAGAGGTGTTAATTAAAATAGGCATTATGGTGGATCAATTATGTTTGTCTTTGCCATGATAAGATCGTTTCTTATGCTAATTTACATCAGATCATCAATTTGTTTGCTAATATGAATGTTAGTATGTCGGGGAAATTTTATTTTTACCCCCCTCTTGCTTTGGTGCTTTGTTTATTACTTGTGGAGGGAGAGAAATGCAAATGAAGTTTAGGAATAAAATTTGTAGCAGATTTATTGTTCGTATCATCATTATAAAGGCTGTTTCACTCAAAGTCTCTAAATGGAAATATGAGGAGAAATTTATGCATTAGCTCAATGGTTCTTCTTAAGAGGCAGATATTATTAGTCCGATGGTCTTTGCAAATTTCATTTCTTCTTTGGTCATCGACATCTAGCTTGGCTTATGTTGAGGATTATGTTGTCTCATCTCTCTTTTCTGAATGCCTATGTTGGTTTTGCTTCATCTCGATTTTTATCTATGGATGAGATTTTTGTTGCCATGAACCATGATGACTCCCGTCCTTGTATCCCCTTGAAGGGTCTAAAGAGTAAACAGGGGTGCAAATTAATCTTACCGATGCTATAAATTTTTCTTAAATCGTGAGTCCTGGCATTATTTGCTTTCTTTTTATTCCATTATGCCGTTTCTATATGGCAGCATGCCTATTTATTTTTCTCTTGAGCCACTGCCCTTATCAGTATGGGCACTCTTTGTCCATTTCTTTTGTTTACTTGTTAATTTTCCTTACCTCTAATTTCTCCCCTCCCCGCATCCCCTCTTCCCACCCTCTCAAAAAAAAAAAAAAAAAAAAAAAAAAAAAATCCTATTTTGAAAAGAGCCTAGCAATGAAAATGAGAAAATTATTAAGTCCGAACACCAGACCTAAAAATAGATATGCATGTCCAATTAAATTTTATCACGTGGACTACGTTTTTTTACTGCACTTTAACCGTACTTTGAGTGCGCTTTTTGAATGTGCTTTACCTGAGCTTTTGACGCATTTGACATAAAATTACACGAATAGGTGTGAATTTCATATGTCAATACTTTATTGGACATCAGATATATCTCTTAGACGTGGCCGGACCTAATAATTTTCCGTGAAAATTGCTTTTGTTATGATACTAAAGAGTGTTACTGAACCAGAATCAAATCCCAAAAAAAGAAGGGCCAACAAACCTTTCCATGGCTACCACGATATCGATCTCCCAATGGAGTCATCACATCCAATTTAACTCGTTCAAGCTCAAGCTTGAGCTTTCTGAATGGAAGAGGAAGAGGACACTGGCGATTGCTGGGTGATGAACGGATGCTGAAGGAGCTGCAACGCAGTGAGGCGGCTAGCTGGCTCCTTTTGAAGACAGCAAAATATGAAGCTTTTCAACTCTTTGGAAGCATTCGGCGGCGCTTCAGGCGGATTCGAGTAGCAGATGGCGCACATGAGGCTCGCCCAGTTCCCCTGCTGCCCAATATTCTCCCCAAAGGGAAACTTTCCCAGGTAAAACTCCAATATACTGAGCCCAAAGCTCCAGATATCGCCGGCGTAGCCATCGTAGATGCCATGATTCAGATCGGTGTTGATCCTCTCCGGGCTCATGTAGGCGATAGTCCCCACCGACGAGTTGCAGGGATCCATAGTCTGCGACAGGATTCTGCCAACTCCAAAATCAGCGATCTTAACTTGGCGCTCAGCGTTTATCAAGAGATTGGAGGGTTTGATGTCGCGGTGAACAATCTTTTGGCGGTGGAGATAGGCGAGGCCGGAGAGAATCTGGCGAGCGACGTCGGCGAGGAATTTCTCCGACGAAATCCGGTGGCCGTGGAGGGAGCCTCCGTCCATGTACTCGAGGAGGATCTGGATCTCACCTGCCTGCTCGTACATGCCGTGGCAGCGAACGACGAACGGGTTGTCGGAGGCCCGGAGGATCTCGATCTCGCGGTAGATCTGGCGCCGAACGGCATCATCGTGGTCGCCGCAGATGACTTTCATGGCATAGATTCGGCTGGTGGGGCGATGACGGACCATATAGACTGTGCCGCCGCTTCCGATGCCGACGCGGCGTATGCGCTCGAGGTCAGAGATCTTCGGAGTCAGTAGAGATTGACCGGCGGTGGTCGGAGAGTTAGAAGATGCAATCGTCGAGAGCGGGGGAAGGGGGAGGGGGACAGCGAGGGTCGGGTCGCGCTGGGGTAGGGGGAGTATAAGGTCTGGCCGACGCCTAGGGCGGCTGGCAGGGGCTGGCGTTGGGGATTTGATCGGCTTGAGTGGGATGGAGACGGTGATGATTGGTTCGAGCTGGGGTAGGGGGAGGGGAAGGTCTTGCCGTCGCCGAGGACGGAGGACTGGGGTTGGCGCCGGAGATTCGGCCGGCTTCATAGCGAAATAGATACCATAGGTCCTCGCGGAATTTCATGGTGGGGAAAGAATAGAGGTGAATTTTTAAAAAGGAGTAGCTTGATAATTAAATTATTATTATGGTTGAGTAAAGATTAATTATTTATTTAAAAATATGCATTATGAATTAAAAAATAGAAAAAATGACAAAGTTAAATTTTATTAAATATTTAATTTTTTGAATAATTTACATATGTTAATTTGAAACTAATTTATGTATAATATTTTTAAAATATAGGGAGTCATAATTTAGGACTTGGAAAGATTTAAGAAATATATAGATTGAAAAATTTTTAAATAGTAAATATTTTTGCTAGATTAATTTATAAATTTTTATTGTAAATTGTAATTATTTTATTGATGGAAAATCTAAATCAAGGTAAATCTTAATTAAGACATTCCCAAGAACTTAATTAATACATTATATTTAAATTAAATATTTGAATAATTGAACTTGTTAGAGTAATGTATAGATGATCACTTAAAAATTATAATAAATTTATAAATAATTATTTTCGTTTTATGTAGAATAAGTAGATGATCTATATGTGAACACTAAATATGTATTCATTGATAGTATTAAAAAATAATTTTTTAATTACTAATTATAAAGAAAAGTAGACTTCTACCAAATAATGTTAATATATTTTAATATTTTAACTTTCACTACATATATTTTATAATTTTATAGAAGATATTTGAAAAACTATTTAGTAAATCCATTTTTATTGAATGCTCAAAACTGTTGATGTCATTAGATTCATGACAAAATTATTATTCAAAGTATAAGATCTTGTATGTTTTGTCTCCTTATTCATTAATTTGATATTATTATTGCTTGCAGCAACCTGTCATATTAGGTGAGCTATAAATATATAATATCCAATCAATTGTTATTGTAGCAGCTTCAACAGAGTTGCAAAAATTAATTATTTATTTGAGTTTTTGTGATTGATTCCTTGAACCTCCTTTATATAAGTGATGCGTATATAGGGAGAGTTGAACATTGAGTGGAGTTACTTGTATTAGTCTTTCCATTGTGGAATACTTAAGTTCTTAATTTTTTTTTTCAATTTTCATCTTAATGTATTGACCTAGTTTAGAGAAGGCTAGAAGCATCCCAGGGAAAGTTTTTTTGCTATTGCTAATGTATGATTGCGAGATTGTGTGACTAGGTCTTCTAATACTCCATTAGAGCTGAAGGCACTACAGGAAAAACACCCAATACCGGCGGCCTAACCGGCGGTTATATGACCGCCGATAATATCGACGGTTTCACCGGTGGTTCGGCCGCCGGTTTTTGGGTTTTATAAGGTAAGGTCGCCGGTAATAGCGACAGTTATTTAACCGTCGGATACACCGCCGGTGATCAATATTACCGGCGGCTTACACCGTCGTTGTTAAGTGAACTCATTACCGTCGGCCTGGACCGCCGGAAGGCCGCTGGTACAAGCCCTAAAATTAACAGCCCCGAGCCTCTCTTCTCATTTATATTTTTCCCTTCTCTCACTTCGGACGAGCTCTGTCGTTGCCTCCACCCGCCTCTTCGCTCGATCGAGGTCGCTGACAATCGCCGGAGACTTCTCTCCGGCCGCCGACCGCCGCCGACTCCACACCGGTTGCCCTCGAAGCTACTTGTCTTGCCGTCGTCGATCTCACACCGCCCGCCCTAATATTTGATGGTAAACTTGAATTTTTTTTGTGATGTTTTGTTCTCACTAGACATTTGCAAGAGTTTGTTATTTAGTGTATGATTTAGGTTATAATCTAGACATTTGTAATAGGTTATTTTGTTAGAGAGAGATAGATAGTGAGAGAGAGCAAAAGAGATAGAGAGAGAGATATAGAGAGAGAGAGCAAGAGAGAGCTTTAAAAAGGGAGAGAGATATAGAGAGAGAAAGAGAGCAAGAGAGAAGGAAAGTGAGAGAGAGAGAGAGGGGGAGAGAAAAGAGAGAGAGTGAGGGAGAGAGAGAGCAAAAGAGATAGATAGAGAGAGAGAGAGAGCAAGAGAGAGAGCTATAAAGAAGGAGAGAGATATAGAGAGAGAAAGAGAGCAAGAGAGATAGGCAGAGAGAGCTAAAGAGATATAGAGAGAGAAAGAGAAAGAGAGAGGGATAGTGAGAGAGAGAGGGAAAAGAGAGAGGGGGAGAGAGAAAAGAGAGGGGGAGAGAGAAAAGAGAGAGATGGGGGGGAGAGAGAGAGCAAGAGAGATAGATAGATAGAGAGAGAGAGAGCTAAAAAGAGGGTTATACAAAGTACTTTCCATATATTTTTTTCTTAAGTCCATATATTTTTTGCTTTAGTCATGGATGCTCTCACTAGACATGCATTTGCAAGAGGATGTACGAAGTACTTTCCTTACACTTGAATTATGAAGGTCAACTTTAGAGTCAAAAGGTTTTCGTTTGAGTAGATCTAAAACTGAATATATGGAGTATAATTTTAGTGGAAATTTACATAGTGAGGGGATTGTGACTTTGGGCGATCAAGTCATTAATAAGATACATGTTTTAGATATCTTGGATCTTTTATTCAGATTGAATAGAAGGAGATATTATCAGCACAATCATAATGCTGAAAAAGAACATTAGGAGATGTAAATAACATCCTCTAGTTTACTATATCTAATTTTGTGTTAAAGTTGATTGATGGTCCAAGTTTTATCCATTTTGAGTCATTTAATTAAACATTTAACGATGACTGCTGACTCAACCTAGTAACTCCAAACTGAAGTGCACAACGGGCACATTAGTGAGGCAGCGATCATGCCTTGTGTGATAGAATAATCTCCCTCAAACTTTAGTAAAAATTCTATAAGATGGTGGCGAGATCTGCAATGCTTTCATGTTTTAATGTATAACACGTTTACACATGTGTTCTAAAAAATGTACTCATAACTATATGCCTGGTCGAAAAGGATTGACAGTTAAATTTATATAGGGAGTTGAAACTTTCATTCAAGTTGCATCTCAATTGCCTTCATTTCAGTTTGATAAAATATTTAGAAGTCCATGTTCGAAGCATAAAAATCTAGCCTTCCTCAAGCCCGATGATGTGAAGCTTGATTTATATCGTAGGGGATTTCTTCCAAACTACTAGTTTTGGACATCACATGGCGAGTACGAGCCACACAGAGATGCTCATGCCAGTTCATCTACAGCTTATGAAACATTTGATGAAGATCAAATGAGTAGACCCTATGAAGAACTTATTTTTGATGTAGCAGGTCATAATTTAAGTTCTAATGCGGAAGAGCCACCAAATATAGAAACACAAAAATTCTTTGAGTTATTACATTCAGCTCAAAAGACAATTTGGGATCGTTGCAGTACACATTCAGAATTATCCATTGTAGTGAGGATGCTAAGTATTAAAACTGAGTATAATATGCCACGTGATTGTTTCAATGACTTTATTGGTCTTATGAAGGAAACTAATCCAACTGGAAATATAATTCCCTCAGACTTGTACCAAATAAAGAAATTAGTATCCAAGCTGGGTCTCACTGCTACAAAAATTGATTGTTGTATCAATGGATGTATGTTATACTACAAGGATGATGCAGCAGAAGTTATTTGTCGCACCTGCAAAGCTCCTCGGTTTAAGCCAAACTCGAAAAAACAACGTCATCCAAAGAAAAATATGTCATATTCCCGTTTGTTTTATTTACCAATCATTCCAAGACTTCAGCGACTCTATGCATCAATGAGTTCAGCAGGCCTTATGAGATGGCATAAGGAGAAAATAGCAAAAATTGATGTTCTTTCTCATCCATCAGATGCTGAAGCGTGGAAACATTTTGATCGAGTGCATGCTTCATTTGCTG